TCAGTCATTTTGTGGTTTTTAAGATGAAATACAAGGAGGAGACAAATACACTTTTCAACAACTTTGGCATAGTGCTTTTTGTAACACCTTGCTCATAGAAAAGAAAATGCTGCATCTATCATAGTCACAGTCCTTTACAGCAGAGGATGTAACCCGAATTTTTAGCCAGGTAAAAAATAATTTTAGTGCCTCCAACTGCTACTTTTATTTTGGATTCATCCGTCTTTCCCAGAGGACGAGGTTTTGGTTGACAAAATAAAATCACCACAAGGTCCACTGAGTGGCTGTTCAGGAGTTTTTAGTCATGTCACATAGTCTTCATCAGCAGGCGGATTTTGCTCTGTAAAACTTTGTGTTCAGATTCCACTTTGGAGGACTTGTTCAAATTCATTCTTTATTTTAGAAGTTGCTGTTATGGAGCTCTCAATGAAATCAGATGAACTTCATCAGTGGCTGCAGTTTACCACTAAACTGACCCTGTGGTGAACTTTATATCTCAATGTTCAAACCAACATGGATGAGAAATTTGAAGTTCTACAACTCCATGAAAAGTGGACAGACTCCATCCTGCTGATGAAGATCATGTGATGATGAATGATCCTTTGGTGAGATTAAAATGTTGTTTCTGACATCAAGTGTGGTTCTCAACCAGAAATATTCCATTTTAATTGATGTATAACAACAAAAAGTCCCACATTCACACACTGGAGAAACTGAAACCAGTGAATCTTTGATATTTCTAGCTAACAGCGATGTCCGTCTCTAGCACTGTCACGAGGTTCACATTTGTGGTTTGGAGTCTTGATTTAATGACTTTAGTGATGCCTTCACTTTAATATCTCCATCGTCACGTCACAGTTTTAATTTGTTGCGACACTGGTGTGTGGAAAACCAGCAGCCTGAGCTGTACTTTGTGCTAAGTAGCGAACATTAGCATGGCAACATGCTAAACTAGGATAGTAACATGATAAACATTATATCTGCTAAACATTGTCTCTGTGAGCATGTTAGCGTTCAGCTAAAAGCAATGCTGTGCCTAATTACAGCCTCACATAGCTGCTAGCATGACTGAAGACCCTTAGTCTTGTTGCTTAATAAATAATTGAAATGAATAATTGATTATAGAAATAGTCCGTTTATTTTTTTATTATTCTTTTGATCATTTCTGATGTACGTCCTTCAGATAAGATTGAGGCCAGAGTGATGCTCTGAAGTCTCACCACTGCTTTCTTCTGTAGTGCCCGTGTCATGTTCTGTGGTTATACATCCTCGTAATAACACCTCTAATCAGGCCATATGCTGACTCTTTGCTTTATCATTTGTTTGTATGAACAGTGATACAACAAACCTGGAGGACGCCTGAAGGAATGCAGCTCTGATGAGGCGTAGATTACTGCAGATTTATTTGTGCTATATTTGTTGAGTGAATGTGGAAACGCGTTGTTATGGAGTTCACTGTTTTGCTCTTCCAGCTACAGTACGACTTTGTCCCACAGACTTGGCCTGGGGGCTTTGGACAGGGTGCTGGATGAGGGGAGTTCCCACTTGAAAAAATGAAAACAAACTTAAAAGCTGGAAGAGGCCCAAGAAAAGAAAGTCACCTTTTGGATGGAGAGAGCACAAAGAAAACAGAGAGGAAGGACAAGCGCTGAGGGCAGTGACCTGTGCCTCCAGAAGAAACTGGAGAAACTTTGGAAGGAATAAAAAAAAATACCCTTTAACTGTCCTTCACATCTGGAACAGGCGCTCTTCTTTTTCTGCCTCCCTTCAGTATCACCACCCAAAATCCAAACCACCCACCCTCTTCCGCATCCGGTCCTGAACTCGGATGTGCTCATGACAGCTACAAAGGACCAGACCAGCACCCTGTATCCATGGTAACCAGTGTACACATCCCAAAGGGACAACATTACTTTTTGGAGAATAGTCAGTCGACTTTGGCAGGACACAAATGATAAAAATCAAAAAAATCTCATATCTTCACGTAAAAAATTGCTCTCCTCATAACTTCAGTTTTATATTCTTGCAAGGAAATGAAAAATTCCACAACAGCCATCATGTTCCTGTGGCTTGCCAGAGACTAAACCTGTGTGTTGGGTGTCTGTGTGTGTGTGTGTGTGTGTGTGTGTGTGTGTGTGTGTGTGTGTGTGTGTGTGTGTGTGTGTGTGTGTGTGTGTGTGTGTGTGTGTGTGTGTGTGTGTGTGTGTGCGGAAGATATATGTGTGTTGTGCTTGCATGGGGTTTAACTGTGGGTGTACAAACAGTGTCATGCTGCAAATCCCTCTCACAAAGCCGAACAAGTTCATCGCCATGGCTCACTGTGATGGATGATGTAGACACACTTCTGGAAAGCATGCGCACTCTTTAAATTTGTGGTGCCCTCTGCTGAATCTCTGCCACCTGCCTGCTGACTTTTAGTTTACACGATGATTCATTTTACTGTAGACTGTAGATGTCTCACCCCGGAGGTTATTATCCCATTATCTTTTCATCATCTCATCACAATCATTTCAAGAGGTGCATTATTTGGAGTTAGTTTGATGTGTGCCGTAATGTTTGAAGTATGTTTCCAGGAGTGAAATCAGACCTGTGTTTTGGGTAATATTAGTTAATATTATTTTATAAAGTCTATGTTGTCATCTTGTTTTATTCATTTATGTCACAAACATTAGCTGTTTATGGGCCCAGCGGATCTATTTCCCCTCCTGTTGTTATTGAGTTCATCCTCATTATCTGACGGTACATTCCTTCATGTCATGCACCTCAGCTGTGTGCATTGTTGCCTTGTTGGTCGCTACTATAAATAGCGCCGTGGCAGCGACCAGGATCCTCCCTGCATTTGTCTCTGCCTCGGTGCAGAAAGTGGGCCCGGAGAAGAAAGCTAAGGAGCTGTTTACCCAGCCTTTGTGCTCAGCAGGCCTCAGTGTTTGCCCTGCAGGGAGTGCCTCAGCTGGAGGGCTGGAGGGTGGAGTGGAGTGGGGTGGCAGGAAAGAACGGGACGAACCTGCAAGTCGAAGGGTGGAGAAGGTCCAGGAGCTCCACCGGTAGAGGGTGTGTGGTCTGTGGTGCAGTGAGCTGGGGTATGTGGCGCGTCCATCCTTCAGGCTTGTGACAGCAGGTGACACAGTCTGCTGAAGAGGCCAGGGCAGGACTGACGGAGCAAACACATGAAGCAGGGTAGCAAACAATAATGGCCAGGTGTGCTCACTCAATCATGCATGTGTGCATGGAGGGATTATTTAACTGGCCTACTGGGCACAGGCCCAGCGACCTGAGGGGTCAGGAGGCCCTGGGTCAGAGCCTGTGACTGTTAACATTTCTTGTCGCAAAAACAAAGGGATGAAAAAAGACGAGAAAGTGACTGAAAACAACTTCAAAGACTCAAAATGACATGAATGACTACAAAGAGTGCAAAGAGAGACGAACCATGACCATAATGAGAAAACCTCTTCCACTCTGGGTGTCTTGCTCTTATGTAGCGGGGGTGGGGGGCGTCTGTGCCCAGGGACCCATTGTCTCACAGTCCATTCGTGCCTGCACTGCCTGTGTGTGCACGTACAGGCGGAATATAGTGAAACACTGGACACTGATGAGTCTGTCAGTGACTGAAGGACAGATGTCACTTGGCGGATTCTTCCACTGGAACACTTTTCCAGAAATGCTCCATGCCCGTCCTCTATGACAATCACTCCCCCTCCTTCCCTCCCTCCCTCCCTCCCTCCTCCCAGCGCAGGAACAAAAACGACATCTGAGCTATGTGGATGGGGAAGAGAAATCACAGCACTTTGTAGCGCGGCCACCGCGCTCCGATTTCACAAAAGTCTCTGACAGGCGGAGCGGCGCGCTGTTTTTACGCATAGCCTCCAGTCCTGCGGGGCATTGTAGACATTGTTTAGTAGCTGTGTAGTAGACTCCTGAGAAGACACCGGAGCGGAACACTCTCTGACAACCTGGATACCTGAGTCCAAAGTAAGAGAGTGTTTTTTTTGTTTGTTTTTTTTAGAGAAACGAGAGAAGCGCTGGCTTGGAGACGCAGACTGTAGCTGCGTAAAGGCGTGACGCGTGGACTTGTAATGTTAAAGAAACATAATTTGACCGATAGAACCGCGTTGTTGTTGTTTTTTTTTTCTTCAGTTGAACTTCACGTTTAAATCCGCTGAAGATCAACTGACACGCAAAAGAAGCAGAAAACAAGGCGTCATAAATGAGCCCGCGCAGAGTCTCTCCTTGGAGGTTTTGATAACGTGTCGACCTTGACTTCACTTTAAAGAGACGCAGAACGTGTTGTGAGAAATTTCCTGCGGTGTTATTTACTCTTTAACTATACAGGCTGTTTGGAGGCAAGACTGAACAGGTTAGTGAAGGTAAGGAGAGGGGAGCCATGCCTGAAAAACTGGCTTCATTTCATTAATCGATGCTTGGATGTGAGTCAGAGCAGAGACAGCACGAGTAGCGAATTGAGGACAAGCATTTCTTACTCTCTGACTGTTTGGCCGTGGTGGACTGTTTGTGTCACCCCAAACAAACCCCTACCTAATTAGATTTTATATAGTCTTTACAGTGCCTGCACCAGTCAGCTGTAAAGTTTATGACCTGGATAGCTTTGCAGTCTGCAAAATGTCCAACTCAACATGTCATTTGGTCTTAAAATACACGGGTTCATCCAACTAACGATGTGTTTTAGAAAACTTCACTTGTTTCCAGAAGAATTTGACCTTTTTATTTTTGAAGAGATTTCTACAAACAAGCTTTTGAAACAAGACAGGATGTGACTGATGCAGAAAATTGGCAGCTGCTCTTATAAAACACTTAGCTCAGGAAATCAAACAAAACATTTGTGATAAAAAATGATCACGTCCAGTGGTGATATATCACTCAAACTTTAAATCTAACTTTAAGACCCATAATAAAACTTTAGGATGAAATGATTTTAGCTCACATGGTGAACAGTCTGTGCTCACTATCTCCACCTTCTCTGTTCTTGTTCAGGGTGCTGAGACACGGCAAGGAGCCGTGACAGGACACCGGCCAGAGAGAGAAGAGTTTGGCCGCGAAAAAAAGAAAGAAAAAAGAAAAGCGAGAAGGAGGCGCCTCTCGCGTTGAAGTTGAGCCGCTTTTAGATGGATTCTTCATGTTTGCTCCAGCCTCAGGGGAGTCAGCCTGCGAGTCACCGTGACAGTAAGGTGTAAAACATGACACATCGCAGCGTATGGATTGCCAAACCCATGAGTTGCACGCAGCGTGGAAGAAGAAGCGGCTCTCCCGTCCTCTCCGGTGCGCACTGGGAGCGGAAGGTTGCGCACAGGACAGCTGGTAAGGCGCACTTCAGATTCTCTAAACTTGCCTATGTACTTGTCGTTTAAAAGATTCCCGCGGCCATTTAGCAGAATATTATTGGATATATTTGTGCGTGTACTGCTGCTGTGAAAGCAGAGCTGCGCTCTTGTCTTCGTGTTTGCTGTGACAACACTGTTTGATGTTTGATTTCTTTTCACATCAGTGGCTTTTTTGCTGAGCTCCAAACATCCCTGCACGCACCTGCCAGCTGTTTTAAGCTCCTAGGGTCGCCGTGACCTGGATTCATTGTTGGATTTAATTTGGTGTTTATTGGCAGTGTTTGGTGGAGGATGGTGGAGGTGTTTGTTCTCTGCGTTTTATGAAGAAAAGTTTTTTGGATTTATGGTCTGAAGCGTTTACAAGGTGCAAGAAGGTGAGTCTGAGCTGAGGAGAAATATGAATCAAAATGACTGTGATAGTCTTTGTGTGTGTGTGTGTGTGTGTGTGTGTGTGTGTGTTCTTATTGCTAAGGGGGAAACAGTGGCAGTCAGGAAGTCTTCTAGTGTGACCCTCCTCTGTGGTGGGCTGCACATCTAAATATCAAAGTACTTGTCACACACACACACACACACACACACACAGCTGCATCCATTTCCCTCCTCTCCAGTGACTCTGAGGGGATCAGGGGCAGATGAAGTCTTTTAAGCTTCAGGTGTTTTGACGTGCTGGAAGTCAAGCTTGTTTCTTCTCAGTCTCAGATGAAACTGTGTTGATCGCTTCGGCCTCGTGCGCTGGTGGCAGGGACGCTGTTTCAGGCGCTTCTCTTCAACAGTGTTTTTCCCTCATCAAACTCGGTGTCTTTCCATCTCGAACTGTGCGACTCGTCAGGGTTTGTCCATTCAGAGATGTAGAAGAAATTACACGATGCGTCACTGACTCCCACATTGGTAGATGAACTTACATACTTGCTCACTGACTCAGTGACCCACTGACTCACACATTCATGTACATACGATGTCCTTCAACACGCAGACGAGGCTCAGTCGGAGGCCTCAGATGTTCACATTTGGATCTTGCTTTGGTGTTTTATCTATATTTTTTTCTCTTCTCCTCCCTGCTTTTCAAAGCTGTTGTACTTGATGAATCTGTGTGTACAAGAGCTTTGGCATCACCTGAGACATGTCACACATCCCCAGCAGGCGTCCCCCACTGAATGCCTGTAAAATGTGTGAAAACATGTCGTGAAACAACCTTGTTTTTCTTTGCTCGTGTCTTTTCAAAATCTCAGGTTTGTTCTCAGGCCGAACGTGAGAGTATCGCCTCTGCTTCAGGCATCTCACACTCCCCCGTCATGCTGCCACGGCTTTCACTTCCTCCAGTCAAAGGTCAAAAGGTCAGCGGCTCCATCGAGGGTCAGGTACTGTGGGCCAGCGTGTTCTCTTTACCAGCAGCCTCCTGATGTGTGGTCTGGTTTGTTTTAACTGGCATGTGGCTTTACGAGAGCTAGCGTGCCGTTTGTTGGTGTTATGGGTTTAACTCTTTTCTTGCTCTGATGCTGTTCTGTGTTGCACCTTGATTTCACAGAATTCCAGTTAAACACTCGTAATTAAAAGGACAATAAATTATTATTATTACCACTCCTTCATGTAGAAGCATCCTCATAAATATATTTGGAGCCACTGTGGCTGCAAACGGGCTCTAAAAGTTTGTATCCTCTCCCAGTGGTCTTCAACTCACTAAGCTTTCAGAAACACAGCCAGATATTTCAAATATTACTTCTATGTATTTCATTTAGGCCGCTCCTCTGGGATGTGTTGAGGATAAACCCCCTAATTTACAGAAAATGTAATTTTCCAAGATATTCTTTATGATCAGGTTTGCCAAGAAAAACATAACAGTCTACTTCACCTGCCATCCAAGGGGAATAAACAGGAAAAAGCATAACTAATTGAACAAACTTTTGGAGCTCAATAAATATTTAATTTTTTCTCAAAACAAACAAACAAAAAAAAGAATCACAATGATGGTTGAAATTCTTGATTTCACCAACGTCAGCCATGTAATTTAAAATAATATCTCTTTGCTATGGAAACATTACACCCGAAAGAAAAATAAAAAACAAAAACGATATATCATAGACTCAGTACGAAAAATATTAATTTCATGCGACGGGAAGAGATGTAGCTATTTACCAGATTTAGCTAGTAGCTAATTAGCCACCAGCCAAATTTAGCTGGTAGGCTGCGCTAATTTTCACCAGTACATCACGTACAGGCGGTAAAAAGACCATTCGCTCTAACGTTCACGTCTCCACTGTTCTCTTAACTTTTTCTACCCAGTGAAGCATTCAAATAACTATAGATAAGCACTGAGTATTCAACCAAAACCTACACGTTTTAACACCTTAATAGCATGTCTGGATTAGCTTCAGATGCTATAGTTTGATAACTACTGTAAATGACATTTTTTACCTATGTGAGCCTCCATATCCTTACAGTTCAGAGCTAGCGAGCGTGAGAAAAATACAATTTCATCCATGTTTTGAAAAATATATTGTTTTACTGAAAATGAACAGTTTAATAATGTCATGTGTAGGCTAAATAATATTACTTACCAACACCTTTACATGTTGTAATCGATTTGTTTACTTTGAAGTCACTCTTTAAAAATACAAGCAAAATGTGCATGTACAGTGTAATTTGTTGGCTCAGCTTGAGTTTGGTCTTTTTCATCCAGTAGGTTATGTGTGTATTATGGCATTTTAAGAATAATATGTTTCAACTAATTAACCTAAATTATGAATCACGATGATGGTTGAAATTCTTTTCAGGATTAGGATTCTTAGTCTTGCATCGCTGGTAAGACTTGCTGCTAAGTTATTAAAATGGCATTCAGGCGGAGTTAGCAGTGTGTAGTGTAGGTTTTTCTGCTCACCATTAATCCAGTGCACAATAATACTGGATTTAATGAGCTGATAATGCATCTTATTGTAAATGCCCAGGATCAGTCGTTCTGATAACATTTTATAGATTGTTAGGAGAAAAAAAAATCAGATACAGCCCTGGGTTTTGTGATATAACTTTAATTGTTTAGAAAAATTATCCAGAAAAGAATGATTTTAAAAAAAAATACAATACAAGACAAGAGATGAAATGTGCTGACTGCTCAGTGGGCGCACAGCTAAGGTGCATAGAAAGCGTCATCAAACACAGTGACAGGCTTCAACTCTTCCAGCAACAGCTTCAACCTTTTTGCTCCTTCCGTTGCAACATTGATGCAGTGAAATATTCAACCTCTAAACTGGGGCGCAATCATTTCACATTAGTGGAAATCTGTCATTAAAAGATGGATGTGTGCTCTGCGCAGGGAGCCCTGTCTTCAGCCGTGTCTCAGCCTCAGTGTGTAACGTTACTCTGGTTGTTTTGTCCCAGCGCTAATGGAGAGAGTGCACTGAGAGAGATTGATTATGCAACCTGAAGTGCCGCAGGGCAACTTCAATCTGGAAGTGCTTAAAGTACGCAGCGAACCACAGTGATTCCTTCAGGGCAAATTGAAGGAGGCATGATCTGACAAAAAGGAATTTCAATTTGTTAGATGTATTCTTTCAGACAAATGCTTCCCATGCAACTTCTGTTTTCTGGGTCCTTGCTTTTGTGGCAGTGGACAATCTTGTGTAAGTACGCTGGGGGAATTATTTCTTTCTCTGATCTTGAATTGTTTTGTTGTTGTTGAGCACTTCGACTTCTTCAAGTTCAAACAGCTTAAATTATTTAGAACAAAGCAGCAGTTAATACTTTTGGAGCCGCTGATGAAACATAAAGCTAACTCCTGTCCTTATCGCAAAATCTCCCTCCTTAAAACAACTTTTTCTCAAAATACAGAAGAATGTTAACTAGCCCAGCGTTTGTGTCTGTGAGAGTGTTTTTTGATACAATAAGCTGTATTCTTCTGAAATTAGCAGGTCCGATTCATTAATCATAGCATCTGAGGGCTGCTTTGAACTATCAGGCCAGGTCATTAAACCCAGTCTGTCTGGGGCGCGAGCGGGCGACACGGAAACACTTTGGATAGAGCTGGTTCACCCAGACACAAGACACACTATTAATGGCCAGTGTGTGTGTATGTGTATGTGTATGTGTGTGTGTGTGTGTGTGTGTCTGTGTGTGTCACTGATGGCCACTTTTCAGAGTGTTACTCTCAGGCTCAGTGTGGGCTTAATTTGGAGAAATAACAACATGAGATGGGGAGCAAGAAAAGGTCATGAGTGTGGGGGGTGGGGGGGTGGGGGGATGGGGGGTGGGGATTTCAGAGAGTGTGTGTGGCTTTTTATGAAAGGTGAGGGGTTCTGTCTGCGTATGTGTGTGTATAAAGCCAGTTTTTGGTGGAAATGTCCAGATACTGATACAGAGCATGTTTGAGAGAAAATAGGCCATGAAGGGAAAGAAAGACGCAGAAACTGAGAGACGTCCTGTGTTAAATGTATGTGTGTGTTTTCTGTCTATTCCTCTTCACCCTTCTCTCTTCCTTCCCTCTGTACTTTTTGCGGCCTTTTTAAGCGCCGCCGTCCTCACAAACACCGGAAAGTGAAATCCTACCCTCTGATCATCGCTCCAACACGGCTAAAATGTGTTCCCATTTAAGGTGAGGCTCACCCAACCGCTCTCTGTGTGGCTTCCTTTTAAAACCAACTTAATCAGGCAGGAATTTGGGTTATTAGGGTCAGGGACACTGGGAAGTTGCCTTAGTGAGAAACAAAGTGAAGGGGAGCGAGAAGGTGAGGACACAGATGTGTCGCATCAGGAGGCTGTCTGTATCTCAGCGCTCATGGGAAAAACAGGCCCGGAGCCGCGGATGATGTTGTCCCATCTAATTTACCTGATCGGGTCACAAGACACTTATAAGTCTGTTGCATTGTGGGTTTCTGTGTGGGTAATTAGTGCTAACTGCACATTAGCTAAACTTTCCAGTGACCCTGCACGGTTAATCTTGTAGATGCCGTTCATCCACATCGTGGAAGTTACAGCTGATGTGGAAAA